CTTACGTTCGGTTTCCGTACGTAACCCGACGGTACCTTAACCGTAACTACGGTCGTCCTTCCGTTCGTACGGGGTTCGTAGGTTCCGTAGGTTTTACGGTCCTCATTGCCTTTCCAGTCACATCACATTTTCTTCCTAGGAGTGACCCCTCAATTCTCCAAATTTTTTATGGCTGTACCTCCTATGAGGCACTCTTCCACATGAAGTTTTTGAATTTTTTATCAATTCCCAAGTAATTCCCTCTTTTGTTTGTGGCCTCTGGTTCATCATCCCCTTGCACTGGCTGTCAATATGTTCAGGATTACATGCAGTTTCTCACATTAGTTTTCTCCTTCCATCAGCTTTTGTACCAAAATGTTTGTTCATCCATGTTACTCTGGTTCAGGTCTTTCTAATTGATTTCCTGGCTGGCACTAATCTGGGTTACTCTGCTGTTTCGACTCAATTGTTTCCTTTGTTTTGGATCATTTTTTTACCTCAATTTCGTGATTCATGTGGTATATTCCTTTCAACTTTTTTGTTTTTTACCATCTTCCACAATTCTTCTCGATTGGTTTCAGATGACCTTATCGGTCCAGTACATGCTTTGGGTTGCTTCATATATTTCAAGGTTTTCCATTTAATCCATCTCCCATGATTTCCACTGCTTTGACTGTGATTTTTTTCCTTCCTTCCTTACCCATTGGGTTTGGATTGTGATTTGATTGGCCTTTTATTCCTTGTATTCATCTTCCCATCACTGATTCTTTATGTCTTCACTCAGATCATGCATCTTCCCTTTTCCCTGGATATCCAAATTGTCATCCATTAGAGTTACTTCGTCTGTCGAGTACTGGAACTATTCCTCATATTCATCTACCATTCTTTATTTTGGGTAAATGTTTCTTCCTTGTCTGGGTACCATCATCCAACTGTTGCCATCCTTCACTCATTTTTGAGACTATGACTGGGTAAGTTACCTTATAGTATATATACCTCTTATTTTCAGGGGCATCAACATCTCTTTTTTTTTCTCTATGGATCCAACTCTGATGCCTGTTCAGGTATACTTAAACTTGTAAAAGCCGCAGTGTAAGGTCATGATGACTTAACCATTAACTCTCTTTTCTCTATGGATCCAACTCTGATGCCTGTTCAGGTATACCTAAACTGTTAAAAGCCGCAGTGTAAGGCCATGATGACTTAACCATTGACTCTTTTTTTCTCTATGAATCCAACTCTGATGCCTGTTCAGGTATATTTAAACTGTTAAAAGCCACAGTGTAAAGCCATGATGACTTAACCATTATAACTCCATTGCCACGCAATGAACATTGCAGAGATGGGGTGTTCCACAAGAATACTTGTAGGTTTATCCTCACAACAGGCCTAGGTTTTGGATTGTAGTCAACTTACCAACTGTATGATCCTCATCCTACCCCTGTGTGGATGTCGGTTCCTGGTGGCATGGGTTTTGGATGTAGTTCACTTGCCGTGTACGGTTCATCATGCTCTAGCCACTCTACACTTAGGAGCACATCCTTTAATCTTACACACTTTTATGTTTTCCGAGATAGAGTTTCATAACCTTAATATATAATGTATATTTTGGATCACTATCCTGCAGTAGTTCTCTCTCATTTGGATGTGCTTCTCCAATTTTCTGCCCATATAAGTGACATCTTTCCACAATGGGTGAAAAGTATACCTGTTTCAGAAGTTGTGCAGAAGTGGATTGCCCTTCAGATGCTCTCAAGGGATGCTTCTTTCTTTCTCTCGCACTAGACCCTCTACCTGTTCAATGTGAGATTTTAGCTATTTGTGTGAGAAGAGGTAATGTACTGTATCTAAAGTTATAATTTTCCTATACTGAAAATTTATTTCCAATAGGTACTTACCTTATCTCACACTTCCCACCCTTCCTCACAACAGAAAACCAGTTCTTCCATTTTCTGGCAAGACTTGAAGTGATAGTTCGATAGAATTGAATAGAGAGAACTACTTGCATCAAGAGAGTATGTCGCACTCTTATTGGTGGAGGGTTGTCGCGTGCGAGACACATTAGAATCAGTCAATTCCAGATGTGGGAGATTCAAGGCGTTTTGGGAGTATAAACAGTTTTTTGCATATAGAGAGCATCACTGAATGAGATTAGCTATTTATATGAGAGGAGGAGTACCTAGGAAATACATTTTCAGTATAAGAAAATTATAACTTTCAACTTCTCATAATATGAACTGTCATACTTTTTCATTATGGGCTTATAATTTTTCTTGTTGCAAAATATCAGAAACTGGCTACAAGAAAATATTTAAAAAGTTTTATTACAATTAAAAACTTGAAGGTGAAAAATGTACATTGCTAAAATAATTTTTTCTGTGTTTTTACAGCATTTCAAAGGCATGGTCTGATTTAACAAATGCTCTCTCTGGTCAGTTTTGTGCATCTCTAAATTTTATAGACCCAACTAACACCATCAGTCCAAGATTTTCGTTTCTACCTCAAGGAGTAGCTTCCCAGAGTTATGCAAAAAACTATTCATTATTGAGGTACTCTGCACTTCCTAGGGAAGCAGTTTGTACAGAAAATTTAACACCATGGAAAAAACTTCTTCCATGTAACAGCAAGGTTTGTAAGATATAAAACAGTTTTTAACTTTTATGGAAAACCCTACTTAGGAGAAATAAAGGGAGATAGATTTAGATGTACATACTCATTTACAGTCTATTATTTTTTAATTTACTAAAAAATAAGAATGTAATTCTTACTAAAAATAATTCATATTAACTTATATTGTGATTTTTATTAGTTAGGTTAAGTAAACTAAAAAGTAATCCAAAATTACTGTACTTAAGGAATGTAAAAATCAACAGACAACTGAAAACTATTTTGTCCATTAAAGTCATCAGCCTATTTCTTGAAGAATATATCCTTTTCTCATTAAAAAACCTATGTAAAATATTACTTATTCATAAACTTGTCAAATGAAATTTCCAAAGAATCTTGTTAAAGGCATAAACCACTTCATTTGGTAAACTCTTAAAAAATTATTTTTGTTTAAAAGAAAATTATCAGAATGTATGAATGAGATTAAAAATACATTTTAATTATTATTATTTATATATTAATGTACTGAAATATGTGTATTCACAATTCTGCATTTTGTAATCAGATTAAAAATACATTTTAATTATTATTATTTATATATTAATGTACTGAAATATGTGTATTCACAATTCTGCATTTTGTAATCAGTAGTACAGCATAGGGTAACTTATAATCCTAATTTATCCAAAATTGTATATTTCAGTATGCTTGTGTTTAAATTTTTGAAGTTTCTAATATTTTGATATTTTCTTATTTTTTGGTTAAATTTTATTCATGCTAATAGATCAAGTTACTAATACAGAGATAAATTCCATCCTTAGTACTGCATGTAGCTCACTTTCAATGGAAGTCTCATTAGTGGGCTTGGTTTTAACCTAAACTTTATCTAGTCTTTTTAAATTTTGTTTCATGTTTATATGTTCTGTACAATAGTTATTTGGATCTTTGATCCCAGGATTCCAGATTTCAGGAGTTGATATAGCCACTTGTTAGATTTCAGTATTCATTATTTTTAGACCTTACAGTCAGTTGTCTGATCCCGTGTTTTCATTACATTAGAAAATGTTTCCCATATAGACTATTGAAAATGTTTCTCTTATTCAAAAACAGCTTGATGGTCATTGTGACTGGGCTATACTTAAGAAGTAAGTTTTCATATTGGAAAGTGCAAATCATACACTTGTAGAATAGTAAATTAGAAATGGCTTAACCCTTGAGTGAGAGAAGCAATTGAAAATAGCTGATAAAGTTTTGAGCTTTTTTAATAGGAATTTTGAATGTGAGAACAAAAAGGTTACCTTTTCTGTTGAGGCTTCAAGTGATGTCTTGTATTCAGGTTTAGTCCTCATACTACAGAAAGGATACCAACATTTTGGAAGGAGTGCTGAAATGAGGTGCAAAGATAATATAAACTGTGAACCAATGCTCACTTTTTTCTGTATCATAGATACAGATGATTTGATTTAGGTTTTCAAATCATAAAATTTTAATAATTTTTCTGTGGGTGATCTGCTAGAGTGGCAGAATGAAAATTCTGGAAAACACTGGTGCTGGTTAGGCCACAGTTGGGGGATTGTGTTTAGTCTTGGGCTGCTTACCTTAGGAAAGACTTTGAATTATTGGAAATTTGTGATGGAAAGGTTGTCATATGGGGAAAAATCAAAATCTCTCAAACTGCTTTCTCTTGAAAAAAGAAGAGTTAGAGAAGATCAGACTGAGGTATGTAAAATTATTAAGATATTAATAGTGTTGATGCATCATCTTGTTATGTACTTAATAATGGGAATGGTAAGACTAGAAGACACAAATATAAATTTTGGCAGGACAGAAGTCATCTTTAGTTGAGACAACTTTATTTTTCTAACAGGGTAGTTGGCCTTTGGAATGTGATGGAAGCAGTTAATTTAAGGAAGTTTAAGAGAAGGCTTGATAAATATTTGAATGATGATGGCTGGCTTTGAGTTGTTGTTGTATTATAGTTTAGTGAATATGATAACCTAGATGGACCAACAGGCCCCTTGTTGTCCTTAAATTTTTCATGTTTCATAGAAGTTCAAAAAGAAATGATACATACTAGCTTAAGGCTTAAGAAGAAAAGTTGCACTACATTACTTTAACTGTGTAACATGAGACATCTAGTCAACATAGAGGTGATGAACTTCATGCAAAAATTGCATGGAAATTTAGAACATTATCAAAATATATCTGAATAAAGATATATATTTTATACTACTTATGGAATGATAAAATTAATGGCTGTTTCAGCTATTACTCTGTGATTTTGCAAATGTATTTTTTTTTGTTTGGATGACATTAACGTTGCAAGAGTGTACAAATGGGACACTGTGAGGTGATATCAATGGTTCACATTCACACAGCTTTAAGTACATGTCTTAAAAAATCATGACTATGTATGCTATTACTATGTATAGTGCTTCAAACTTTAGTCATTTTCATTTCTTTATTCAAAATTTTACAAGTTGTTTCCGAGATAATACCTCATCCTCACAAACAGAATAACTTGATATCTCATCTATCTTCCCATGAGATTTACTTGCCATTAGCCTTGAGCTAACTCCCACCTAAAAATCACATATTTAATGTGAACTGTGCTGTGCTCGAAATAAAATCATTCTCTTCCTTGTCATTGTATAGAATGGATGTGTTCTTAGAAAATTATTAATTAATCGCTTGAAATTTGTGATAGTTTAGGAAACTTAAATTCCGATGCAGTACTTACCACTTCTCACAAAATTAGCTATTTTCATTCAGTGCTGCCCTCTATATGCTAACTGTTTCTTTATCCATGCCACAAGCCTTCTGTGGAATTGAAAGATTCCATTGTGTGTCTCATGCAAATTATCACATGTCACTTCTCCTCCAATAAAAGCATGACATGCTTATGTGATGCATGTGACTCTCTCTATACTCCTCTACCAAACTGTCACTTCTTGTTTGGCAGCACTTGTGTTTGGATGTGTTTTTTTTTGTTTAAAGATTCATGTTCAGCTTAAGTTTCCTCAGGAAGTGGTTTTAATTCATTTAGTTTTCATTCAGACAGTTTCTTCACTTTAAATTTTTATCACCAGTCGCATTATTCTTTTTCACCACTTTTTCTTCTTGCCTAACATTGTCTTGTGATAGTTCATTCCAACAATTCTATGGTGGTGGCTCATATCAATCACCAGGAGGCCTCCTGGTTGAGAGATTTGTGTTTTCAAAGGTTGGATCTCTTATATTGGGCCCACATGCAACACACTCATCTCATTGCATGTCATGTGTCTTTCCCACCCCAACTGGATATATATCTGACAGATTGGTCATTAGATTCCCTTGTTTTCAGGGAGCTTTGCACTTGGTGAGGTTCTCCCCACATGGATGCATTTGCTATGAGCCTCAATCACAAGTTACCTTTCTTTTGGTCACCGGACCCTCATCCTCAGGTTCTGGCAGTCAATCCTTCAGCCATGATTTGTCCCACAAATATCTTTATGTTTATCCTCCTATCTGATTGCTTCTTATTGGCCAGCTCAGTCATGGTTTCCACAGTTACAGCATCTGCTACTCTCCCCTCCTGTACCTCTTCCACCATCTCCCTATCTTTTTTTTCAAGCTCAGTCGCCTCATCCTGCATCTTCATGCCTGACTTTTATCCAGTCCTTGGTGAGAAGATCTGGTTTCTCCTATCAAGTCACTTTCATTTTAGCTGGTTTCATATGTCCTTCTTGCATGGAGGTTATCAGAACAAGTGGAAGGTGTTCCACAGTTGGTCTACATGAGGATTTCCCACTGGCCAGCATCCTGTGGCTTGGGTGGCAGAATTTCTCACTTGGCTTTTTGATCAGGGATCCTTGGTTTCCTCACTTTCGGATTATTGGGTGGCTTTATCCCATAGCTTTCCTTTTTCCTGATACCATAGAGTTTTTACTTCACCTGTTCTTACCATGCTACTGTGTTCCTTCCAGTTGCATCGCCCTCACAGGTGATCTACCCTTCCATAGTTGGATACTAATATGGTATTCCATTCCTCATCTTACCTCTGTTTTAACCACTTTCATCATGTTCCATGTTTCACCTTTCCCTTAAAACATATGCCCTTCTCTTAGCCAGTGGATGTTGATGGTCGGATTTATTTGTCATTGACGTTACACATACACTTTATCACCCTAACTATCTTTTCCTTTATCCAATTTGTTCATTCCTCCCAAAGACCTCAGCGGCTTGGGAGGGTAGCTTCTCCTTTTCAACTATTTTCCTTCCCTCTATTTTTCATCTTTACTCTCGATCAGGTCTGGATAAGCTTCTGTATCCAGTCAGGGCTCTTTGTTGTTATATTGCCTGTATGGCTTCCTTTCATGGTACCCATTTCCAACTCTTTATCCCCTGGCAGTTTTTTCCATTTGTGATTTTTCAACTTCAACTCTTACTAATTGGGTCTGACTTTTGATCCATTTGGCATATTCTTTCTTCCGGAATGTGTTCCAGGTGTCTTTTCATCATTTTAGACACCTCACATTTTCCCTCACTTCTCATCTTCGTCATCCATTAGAGGAAATTCTGCAATCAGGAATGTGGACCATGCCCAATACATTTGTCTCCCATTATATACATCATATCATGGCTTATTCTTCGTCGGGTTTTTGTCTTTCAACTGTGGCCGTCACTCAGGCTTTGCCGCAACTCTGACTGGTAAGTTTCTGTTCATACTTTCATTTCTTTTCAGAGGTCTTTTTCTTCATTCCTCATCACATGAATCCTGCTCTATGGTGAGTGGTGCCTGACTAGGTATTCTTTAACTTGAAATCTGCACTGTACAGCCAGGTGGAGGAGTGTAGAGGGAGTCACACGTGTCACATGAGCATGTCATGCTCCTATTGGTAGAGGTGTGATGTATGATGATTTGCATAGGAGACACATTGGAATCTTTCAATTCCAACAGAGGGGGGGGGGGGCAGAAAGCTTATGGTATGCATAAAGAAAACGTTTACATATAGAGGTCAGCACTGAACAAAAATAGCTAAGTAGCTATAGGAAACTATATTTTCAGTATAGTAAAATTATAACTTTCGCTGGTTTCTTTTATAACTAAGGAACAACAAAATAATTATTTTCCTGCTTTCCCATTATGAATTCTCATATGACAGTAACTTTTATTTCATCTTGTATTAGTGACAATATTCCTAACACAGGACCTATGTTAGTTGTAGCTACTGGAGGCTCATCTGTGGAGAACATGACAGCCATTGCTCAATATGTAGTGGTTATTTTTCATGCACACTGCCCTCCTCCTCCCATCCATTCAGCTGACATTCCTTCTCCCCAGTTTGGACATGATCAGTATCATGATGATTTTAGCAGGCTGTCTTCCTCAACAGGGTTTGCTCTTATCTCATCTTTGTTTGTGGAGAAAAATCCTCACTTTTTCCTTCTCTTCTTTGGCATGATTTCACATGATTTCTTTTGATTCCCCTCCAAACTCCTGCACACCTGCCTTGTCCTCATCTATTTTGTCCTGGCTTATAGCCATTCTTCATTTCCTATCCTCAAATCCCAGTCTTTGGAATTTCTTTTACCTGATTGGGGAGGTAATTTATTTCTCTTTCTAGTGCCCATTTCTTGCACCTCTGTCTCTTACCACACTCCTGTATGTTACCTCTCAATGCTTCACCCTATGTCTTCGTCCTAAAGTGGGGTTTTCTGGAAAGGTTTCTTCTCTCCACCTTCATGTTTTTCATTGAGTTTGCTCAGTTGAGCTCAATTCTCATCAATGCCTTTGTCACTCTTCACACCAAATTTTCTTTCTTTGGGTTTAAAGTTCCTCATCCTTCATCCCTGGCAGTTGATACCCTTAGCCAGGACTGGTCACACCTTTTTTTTTTCTGTATGCCTATCATCCTGTTCCTCTTCTTCTTCCTACTACTGTTGCTTTGATATGCAACTCTCTTTGTCAGGTCCTGTTCAAGTTGCCTTTTTGGCTGGCATAACCATGATTTGTCAAGTCCATTTCTCTCAGGACTGGGCTCTCCAGTTGTGTAGCATTTTTCTTATCCCATACCTGTGTCATACTTAAATCCTTTGACTGGGACTTTGGCATGGTTTTGCACACACTCTCCCATTCTCCATTCAAACTGTTAACTTCATGTTCATTATACCTTCTTTCTGTGAAGCCATGTTTTCTTCTTCTCCTCGCCTGTGATCACTGCTGTTCAGATGTATATGCTTCCTGCAATCTCTTTCACTGCACTTTCTTCCTCTTCTATTCAGATTGGTCCTTTCTTCCTGAGACTTTGGCTGCTCAGGAAAGTGATTGTTCTTTCATATTTTGTTGCAACAGATTCATCAGCTGTCTTACTCCTGTATTTTATTCTCATTAACCCTTGGATGAGATTCTTCAGGCTGGCATGTTGATGAATTTGCACATGTTCATCACCAATTATTTTCATCATCAAGCTGTTTTATCTCCTGCAGGATTTTGACTTCCTCCCTTCTCTGTTCTTCAGTAAACCTACATATCGTCTTTGAGATGGTTAAGTACATTTTCTTTTTCAACACCCTTTTCCCTTTTATAGGATCCCATCATTTCACTGGTGTTACTTCCCAGGGTGTGCTTATTTCCAAAAATCCTCATCAGGGCAGGGGTAACAGAAAGCATTCAACCCATCTGTCTTGGCTCTACTAGTGCCTACTGTTGAGATGGGGTGTTCTGCAAGATGACTATAGGTATCCTCTTAGTATTAAAATCATTCAATTGCCCACTTTAGACTGTACCATTCCATGAACTATCATGGAAAAAGCAAACACTAGGGAAGTATCTGCCCACTTCTTTGGCTAATGCTTGCTGTCTTTTAAAAATAAAGTTTTATGATCACCCATTGCACTGTCTTCAATAAAAGACCTTTTTAGCAGATGTCTGATGGGGATATGGGCAGTTTACTGGGTCTCCTCACCATGAATTTTCTCCTTCCTTCTTCATTCTCTCCTCCTGCAGTAAGAGTCTTTCCAGTTGAGTTGAGTTGAGACACACTTCGTACTGTCTGATCACACCCTAACCACACTACATTTCTTGGCTTGCCAACCACTTGTGTGCACTGGTGCTCAGTTAATCATGATCAAATTCTACCCATCCTGGTGACAGTTGGAACTCTTTTGCCTTTCCCTTTGTTTCCTTCTAGACAAAGAATATACCCTGGTTGAAACAAGATGCAGTCTCCCACAGGTGTGCCCCTTTGCAGCCCCTGCCATTGGGTGATGCACTCCATGGGCTTTCCCTTCTGGTGCTTTCTGAAGGAAGCTCATCTAGGTTTAATGTTTGCACCGGCATCTTCACAATTTCAATGTGGGATTGTAGCTATTTTGTGTGCGGACATGAGATATTTCTGGTAGATATTCACCTCTCACACCTTTATACCCATCCTCCCTACTTCCAGTACACTTTCCTTTTGCCTCGTCTAAGAATGAAGTTATTTTGAGTGCAAGTGCTTAAGGGGAATTACTGGGAGAGGGCTATTGTCACATCATGATGTCATCATGCACTAGTGCAGTGCAATTTAAACACATTATTTTTAGGTGGGAGTAAGCTCAAGACTAGTGGCATGCAAATTTCATAGGCAGATGTGTGAGATATCAAGCTATTGTGTGTGAAGAGGTATCGATTGGAAATACAGAGCTGAGTATAAAAATTTGGGTATAGGCGTTCTTCAGATATGCTATACATATTAAGCTATAACTGGTGCTATCCAATATGAAGGAAAGCTTTGACTTTCTCTGGATGCATCTTCTCCTAAAGAAGTTGACCCATCCAGACCAAACTTGGCATGCTAACTTATTAGTCAAAAAAGCAAACCAAATTCATATTAAACTTTCCCATAGGTTGAAAAATAAAAATATTTTGTAGAATAACCCCTATGTTGTTACTGCAGTAGCTATTGTAAATAGTTGAGTTTGAACAAAACTCACACCACTACAAAATTCTACAAGTCAAAGATTATAAATACAATTTTCAGCATTTTGGCTTGTTTCCCATAATAACCAAAATATACAGTAATGAAGTGTCCAGCTGCTACAATTCAGAGAATAATGATATTGCTGCTATTTATGTTTCCTCCTTTTTTCTGATTCACACCACTTAACTTCCAGTTTGTACTTAGGTTAGAATAAGAGCTTAACACTGAATTAGAGAGGTATTTCATAATTACAGTATTTTTAGAATATTTCTCACCTCTCGATGTAGATTATTATTTTCCGGAGAAGCAAAATTCAAGATTATTATTAAATTAATGCATTAAATGTACCAAATTTAGACAGTGGAAATCTGGGCTACATCTCTACTGTGAAATGGGCTGCTTTGAGCAAGAAGTGACACAACTGCTTTGCCATTTCTGCCATGTTTCTTGACTTGACTGCGACACCTTCTTACTTCTGATCCATTTCCCCTGTTTTAAAAGTTTTCTTGGGGAATGAATGCTACTGAAAATCTTGCAGAGATTTTGCTCATTTAAATTGCAAAACAAGAGCTTCAAAAACAAAGTCCGTTATGGATTGAGAGTTCACTTTTACTTGTAAACTTTCACTAGTCTGTCAGGCTTTCACTAAGGGCAGAGCTGGGTATGTAATTTGCCACTCAAAAAATTAGTCAAATTGCACATCTACTTAATTGCTATTCTTCATTTTAATGTTATTAATAGTCATTTATAAATTGTTTAGTGTTTCTTTACTTTCATATTTTCTTTTTTACTAGTAGTAATTATTGACCCTTTAATATTAAACAGTATTTTATTACTTGTATTAGCACTTTCCAAATGTTATAGTTCATTTTTTATTCACAAGGCTGGGCTGTCGATGTTGCTGAATGCAATTCAGGTTTTTAGTGCTACCTATGTTTCACTGGCTGTTGATGTAAGACCTATTTGTAGGGTAAGTTTTTGATATGTATTCCATTACACAAGAAAAACTGAAGTAATCATGTTCTGGTAAATCATTTAACATTCATCAATATATTGAAACAATTTTGTTTAAGCTTGAAGAACAAGATTCTTCCCAAAAGAATTCCTACATCTTAGTTACACCAACCTTTAATGGACAAATTAATCTTGTTCATAACCGTGTACTTTCCAATCTTGGCAGGCAGTATATTATAACTCATCTTATGAATAAAAAGAAATATATGTAATGTGTGTGCTCAAATTCGATGACGAGGAACCCACTTTGAGACTAATAGTGCTTGGAGATGGCTTGAATGGGTAATAAAGAAAAACTTTAATATAAGTTTACTCCTTTTCTTTCTCATATATTAAGTATAAGGCTGAGCATCTACTTTACTAATTGGCTACTGGTCTGGTGCCAATAATGTAAAATGAAATGTGAGGTGTTTGGTAAAGTACAGAAATTATTTTGTATTACTATTCCATTTACAAAGATGAAACTGTGAACATGAAGTCATATTTTTGCAAAACCAGAAACTTAATCAGTGTAAAATACTGTTAGACCTTTTGCTTTAATTTGACATCAATTCAAAAAATGGTTAAAGTATGCATCTGTGCTGTTTTATTACGAATAAACTCCAATAAGTATGATTTTCCTTTCAATATAATATTCTTCTAATGGTTAATCAATGTTGGTCATTATTATAAAAACCTAAAAATTGCTTATATTTATGAAATGCCTTCATTAAGTATGATGTCAGTTATTCAAACTTCTCTGTCTACATTGGATACCATTATTTATACCCAGTGAACACAGTGCATATAATTCATATTAACTATCAAACCATGTTATCTACATAGATTGGAACTAAAAATCAACTCAATAATGAGTGTATATAATTAAAGATCATGTTCTTAGGTTCTTCCTTATAATTATTAGGATACACTGTTTCACCAGTTGGGTGCCCTTGCTTTTAACAGTGTCTTCAGCCATAATCCAAATAATTAATGTCATAACTTTTGATCAGCTTAGGAGATTTAGGGTGGACTTAAATTTATATACTAAACTGAAAATGCAAAATAATCTTTATAATAAAGTATAATGATAAAAATTAGAAGTAATAAAAATAGATATGTTTAACATTCTAACCAAACTGTTAATGGAAATAACATTAAATAAAGAATAGATTATAACTTACTGAACCCATAAGTACTGGCAGTTTGTGTCATGTACAATCATTGATTTTTTCTTCATGAAGAACTTCACATCAGTATATGCAAAACTTATCATTAGGGAGGATTATATTGTCTTGTGGCTCTGCCAATGTACTTTCAGAGTGGCTTAAAATCTGAAATAAACTATCATGACACATGTTACAAAATTTTGAACATACGGTATATCAAATGGTTTTACTATAAATGTTACATAACAGATTTTTTCAACATATTTCTTTGTTTCATTGAACATTTATTTGTTCCAGGTGATTGAATTGTCTTGTCTCTTATTTTTCTCTAAGTGGTAATGTGTAAGAAGGTTTGATTATAAACGTTATTCTATATCACAGGATAATGACTGCAAAGAAGCTTCTCTTGAACTGAGACTGTCCATTTCTATTGTGTTTGAGCCACCTGTGTCTCATAAGGGAAAGCAAGGTAGGAATTCTTAGTAGGGATTTGAGGCAGCATTGGAATGCACTAGTGTATACATTATGCCTTTATATAATGCAGGAGTTTCTACTCAATTTTTGTCTTAATGATGAAGTTGAGAACATTATCCAATTAATCATAATGTCAAATAGTTGCCAAACTTTTGAGAAAATTACCCTTATATGTAAATTAATGATATGTTTGTAAGCAAGTACTAAAAAAAGGCTGAAACTTTGTGTAATAAAATAATTTTTTTACATCTTTAGAAACATATATAATATAACCTGAATTAAGTTTATCTTATTCAAAAATTTATTAGAATGACTGAAAATCTGAAGAAATAAAATGGTTGTATTCAAGAACTGACTAAAAATACCGATATTTGCCAAATTCCAAAATTGATGGTACAAAATGTTAAATATGATATTGACTGATCAATATGTGATATTTTCTGGTAAACTGATTTCTGAAAAGAATAATTTTGGTAAGTCTGCTGTATAATTGAAGGAATAGCAAAAAAATAATGAAGTGATTCAGATTTCTGCTAAAACTAACTGTGTGTATGCTACTAAACTGATGAAGTGAGCATAAAGTGTGATGCATATTGTTGTTCCAATCAACAGTCTTTAAATGAAATAAAAAACAAAGGAGGCAACTTTGGGTTAAGCTGCCTTTGATTTACTTTTTTCAGTTGGTTCATCGAGAGTGTGATGTTTTGGATCTTTCCCCAGTTGTTTTTGAGCCTGCACCTTACTGGATGACTGAAAGGTCTGGGAGCAAATATTTAGTTTTCTCTCCATACATGGACATTGGGCTCATGCAGGGAGGTTTATTTCTCAGTTACTTGAAGGGACAGTTATGCCTTATCTGACACAGTTGATGGAACCTCATAAGTTAGCCTAACACTGCCAGGTGGAATATGTAGTTAACCTGAATATATCAGTGTCCTCTGGTGAGACAGGGTAAGTTTATGGACTTACAATTCTAAAATCCAATGTTTTGTTTTCCTTACAATGCACTTTGTTGGAAGACTCTCAGGATCGACAACTTCAATGATGAAGAGCTGGAACCATTGTTAGAATGAACATTGGTTCGAGTGTCGGCTTCTACATTCATCCCTGTTGTTGTTGGTGTCTCAAATTTCATCAGCTCCTACAGGGAGTCATAGTTTCAAAACTATTCGAGGGTCCCAACCCCCAACATCAATCTCTCAGTACACTGGTACCCAAAATAGAGTCTATTTTTATCCAAGGGTTCTGCTGCTTGGTTGGATCGCTGCCAGCGGCATCAGTGATTATTGTATGCATTTCAGGTCTGTGGGGGCTTGGCTCCAAGAATTTCTGGAAGTGTAGTAACCATAACCAGGGATCCAGGAACACTACAGGTCCTTGAGTCAGGAGTAATTATTCAGTTCACATCTTCACCATTTATTGTCCACCCAACCTATAGGCCTTCCATCTTCCACAGATCCTTAGAACTTGGAACTTAGTTCCAGGGCTATCAGAGTTTGGTTGGTCTTGGGGTAGTGAGAGAATTGTGCTAGTTCTTCCAGGGTTTTATTCCCATCAGTTGTTAGGTCTAAGAAGACAGGAGATTGGTGTCCTGTTTTTGATCTTTCTTCGTCTATGTCAATGCCTGTGTTATCCAAAATTCACAAATTGCTCATTCCTTAATCTGATTTAACTATTTTTACTGGGTATTGTGGTAGTGC